GCCGCCGCCCCCTGCGCCGCCGCCGCCGCCGCCGCCGCGGTATGGCCACTTGGCGCGCTCCAGGCCGTAGTCACGGAAGGCCACTTCGCGCACAGGCTGGACGTGTGGCGCCAGGTTGGACGAGTAGGGGAAAGTCATCTGGCAGGACGACGGTTGCGACAGGAACGACGGCTTGCTGGCGAAGTCCGACGGGGCCACATAGTAGGCGCAACCGGGCAGGTACATGCTAGCTGGGCTCGGGCCACACTCATCAAAGTCGTTCATGGCTCCGAGGCGTGCGCGCCGGCGAGCCCCGGGTCGCTTTCCGCGCCGCCAACCTGAGCCATCGATTGCACAAGAGGCTTGGGCCAGGATCAACTAAGCAAAAATCCCCACCGGGCGCTGACGTGCAATTCATCTTGATTGATTCTGGTGGTAATTATGTCACGTGACGCCATGGAGAGAAATGTCCTTATATCTATATCAGCGCTAGCCAACACGCCCCGGGACGGCTTCTGGCGCCGAGACGCGCGCGCGCTGGGGGCAGACGGGCCTCCTTCTCCCGCCAGCTCTCCCTCGGCTCCTTCTGACCAGGCTGCGCCGGAGGCCGTTCACCTGCACGCCGGCGGCGGCTGCCACCGCCGGGCGCATCTGCCACCGCCCGGCCGGGCCACCCGCCCGCGCCGGCCCGCCCGCGCCGCTTTAAGTACGCGGACCGAGGCCCGGCGGGGAGGAGGAGGGAGGCGGAGGAACGAGGAGGAAGGGGGAAGGGAGAAGAGCGGCGAGCGGAGGGGGGAGTCCCCGCCCTGGGCGCAGGGGACTAGGTGTGAAGGTGTGAGGTTCCCACCTTCCCACCCCTTCCTGCAGCCTCTCCCTCCCCCGCGACGCCGCCTTCCTCCGCAGCTCGCCCGCCCGCCGGGAGCTTGTTGCTTGTCGTTCAAGGGGTGTAACTGCGTCACTCTCTGGGGCGCGGGGAGCCCTGATTTACATATTTTTCTGCCCCAAGCAGTTCACCGCGTAGGAACTTGGCTCTCTCGACTTCTGACCCCAGAGGCTCGAGTGCTGGCCTGGAAAATCCCACGCCAAACCCCTCCCAGGCGCTCACCCGGCCAGGCCTCTGCGCCCACCCGGCCCTCTTGCCTTCTCTAGTCCTCTTTGGTTTCCTTCCTCCTCTCTGTCCCTCCCCAGTCTCTTCAGTCTTTTTCTTCTCTCGCTGTTCCCGCTCTTGTTTCCTCTTTCTTTCGTCCTTCCTCTCTTACTTTCCTTGCCTTTTTTCCTCCCCTCTCTCTCTGTCCCCTTTGCTTCTCTCCTCCTTCACCCAAGTGGTGTGTCACAGCCTCTGTCTCTCTCCCTGCCTCCCCTCTGCCTCCTCTCGCCCAGTGCTAAAGGGAGGAGGATGCTCGGCCAGTGGAGATTCCCCTTGGCCCCAGCTTCTCTGGAAGCTGGGGGGTCTGGTGAACAAAAGAATCTGGAGTCCTACTCTCAGGTGCCGGGCCTCCTGCTCGCCTCCCACAAGGGGCCAACCACCCGAGCCTCCACCCGCCTCACCCCTTCTGTTTTCCAGCCTGGCCTGCCATCAGCCTGCCTCACACGCCGCCCCTTCTTGCGTCGCGCATCGACAGCGCGGCTCCCCAGGCTCCTCTGGCACCTTTGGGCCGGCACAGTTACTGTGGCCCCCTGTGAGGTCCATTGGCTCTGGGGGGTGTGCTCTCGGCAGCGTCTGCCTCCCCGTTCGAGTCCCTCTGTGCCACCTGGCCTAGAGACGGATTCTTCAGTGCCTCACTCTTCTCCTCCGCGGCTGCCGCGGCCCGCTTTCCGAGCCCCGGGGTCCAGGCGAGCGAGGCCTGGGCTTCCACCTCAGGGAGAGCGGGCGCTTTGCAAAGGTAGAATCAGTCTCCCCAACAGAAGCGCCCAATCCCAAATCCCAGAATCAAGGGAAGGAGACTGCCCTCTCCCCAGGATTCCTCTGCCCAGGCAATCCCAGCACTGGGACATGGGCCTTAGCCCTACGCGCCCGGGGTAGACGGCGCTGGCTGTGGGGCTAGCTCCGTCCCTGCCCCGGGTCGCCGCAGTGTCGGTGCCGTGCACTCTGCCCACTGTGCCAACAGACAGAAGAAAGGCGGGTAGTCGGAGCTAATATCTATTTTATGGCCCGATGTTCCCCCTTCCTCCCTCTCTTGCCTCCCTTTTTCCCTCCCTCTCCCTCCTCCACCCCCTCCCAGTCCTGCTTCCCTCCCCAACACTGCGCAAACTGGTCGGCGACGACTGGAGAACACCCACCAAACCTCCCACCCCCCAGAACTGCCCGTCCTTGGGTGCCCCCTCCCCGCAGGTGACACCCGCGCCCAGATTCCAGCTCACCCCCTTCTCCTCAGCCCAGACCTCGGGCACACGCATCTGTCTCTCCATCTGCATCCCCGGACCAAGTCTCTCCCTTTCGCGCTTGCGGTTGACGCCCCTGGATCTCTCTCCTAAAATGGCTCCCCGGACACTGCACACTGGCCCTGCGGCTGCTCAGGACCCAGGGCAGCGGCGGAGGGACCCTCAGGATGGGTCTTTCTGGGTCTGGGGGTACGCAAAATTGCCTCACCTCCTCTCTGCTCGAGGCACGGGGACCGGACGCAGGCAGCCTGCCGCCCCCAAAGTGGAGCCTGCTGACCGCCTAAGGGGAAAATGAGGAGGACGAACCATTCAAGTTCAACGACATGGCGACGGCAGGGACGGCGGGAGCCGCGCTTTGGCGGGGGAGGGTGCGCCATCTGCAGCCGCGCGCGGGAGCCCAGGCGAAGGGGGCAGCGGGCCCCTTTCCCCGCGGTAGCGTGGACCCCTGCCCCCACACAGAGCCCACGGCTTTCGTTCTGGGCCCTGCGGTCTTCACCCTTAGACCCCAGCCCCTCCTTGGTCCTCGGTCCTTTTTCCGGACCCCAGGGAAAACCGCAGCCTCTGGACCCGTGCGTTCCGCTACAGAACCTACCGTGAAGACCCCGTCGCTGTGGCCTTGTCCTCCGCCTGTGCAGCCCCACCCGAAACGCCAGGCGCGCACCCGGCCTTCGATTCGCAGCCAGCAGCTCTGCAAGAGGTAGCTTTCCGCGCAGCGCCAGGACGCGATGCGGTGTTTTGAGCCACCCAAGATAAGACACTAACTTGACCTTAACTTTGTCAGGGCGCCCCTGGTATCTGGAGAACGTGAACAGACACTGTCTGGCAGCTCTCGTAAAAGCTGACTGGGGAATGGATTCTGAGTCGTTTCATTTATTGCCACTACAGTTCTGCAAGGAAGCTTTTCCTCTCTGCCAAACTTTAATTATTTATGCTCTTTTAGGAAGCGAAATAAGAAGGGGGGGGGACACCCAGAGCCAGTCCCTTCCCTGTAGAGCCTCCTGAATAGGTTGTTCAAGTCAAGCTACAGGAAAACAAAAATGTGGGGACATCACCTTTGTCCAAGGACGGTTGGACTGGCGCCGCCCCCCCCATCACTGAGGGGGGAGGAAGCAGCTGGGAGAGGCGGGGAGGAGGGACACCCCCCACCCCACACACACACTCGCATACATGAATATTTACAACGGTTCCGGATTTCTCCTCCGCCCGCCAGCCTCCCGGAAGCCTCTGCAGCCCGCCTCCCTTGGGGAGAGCCCCCAGGCCCTAAAGCGTCCCCCGGTCGGCCCTCTGAGCTCGCAACGGATTTAGTGCCAGACAAGGCCGTTTTTTCTGGTTCTAAAACCCTTTTCTTATCCTAGAGGCCCGCGTGGACTGCGGCGTTTCGGAAGACGCGTCTGTCTTTGTGCTAGGGAATGTTGAGCACTCAGATTTCATCATCATTTCTCTCCGGCGTTTGTTTTTTACGAATTTCGCCTTGGTTCCGAATCTCGGCCGGGACCTCGGCTAGGGAAAGAAAGAGGGCACGCCGTCTTTGTGTCTGTGCCGATCAGTAAGGGGGAAAGATTTGGAAAACACTCCTGAACCCCCAACCGACAGACAAGCTTTTACATTTAGAATAATTTAATTGTCTTTGGAAAGTGGTCTCCATGCATATCCCCTCCCCCTACACAACCGTAGCCTAAAGGAAAAGAACGCCGCGATTTAATGGTATATTCTGGAAGATAAAGGCCTACGTGTGCTCTTCTTAGGGCCTGCGCCTGAGCAAGTCCGGGTTCCTATTCCCTTCCCCAGCCCTCCGGAACCGAGGTCTGAATGCGGCCTCTGTCTTTGTTGTTTTTGAGGAGGCAGTCCTCCAAGGCGGACTCAGACTGGGAGACCTGGTTCCGGGTGCCACCTCCTCCCTGCGCCCAGCCTGGTGGGGAAACATTTCTGCTCATAGGGCCTCTGCAGCCTCTTGCTTCTTTTTTCCCTTGTATATACATACATATATTTGAAGGAACGATTAAAATATATTTTAAAAATAGGCATCAAATTCTCTTCAGGGAAGGGATTTGGAATGTGAAACACTTGGTATTAGAGACATAGCGGTTTTGCTAATTCTCCTTCTTGACACAAATCAGTCATTCTCTGGCTTCCTCCTATGAGTGAGCTGGGGGCTACAAGAGGACAGTGAGTGCCAAAGAGGTGTACTCTTTCCCGACCTGAGCCAGAGGCTCCGAAGGCCCACGGGGTGCAGAGGTCACAATTCCCAAGGAAGTGGCCTTGTGCGCTCCCGGACTACCAGGATCGAGGATTTCCACAGGGCACAGCCTGTTCTGGAGAAGCCTGGCCAAAATTTGGCAGACAGAGATGTTTTGTATTGAAATCTGAGGAATTTCAAATTGTAGCATTCCCCCCAGAAAACAACGGGCTTAGAAGTTTGAGAATTTAGACAAAGTACAGATGTTTCCGCCCGCAGCAAGCTGAGGGTCCTCATAGTGTGTGAGACACACTCAAATATGCCCATGGCTCCCCCACCCAATTTTGGACATTTCATACATATTTTGTTCACAGGCTTTTATGTACCATTTCCTGATTGCCTCGGAAGCCATTTTCTCATTTAAGGAACAGTCAACACCCGCCATGAAACAGCAATGAGGAAAGAAAAACGAATTTGGAGTCCTGAAAAACATTAGAAGGGAATCTGAAGCTGTTTGAAAAATCAGCATCAGCTCCCTCACGGCTTAGCTGGACACTGGGTATTTATTTCTGATCAAAACATTTCTATCTGTCCCATATATACAAGCTATTGTTTTTGATAAAATCAAAACAAAACAAGACATGCATGACAACTACTAGACAGCAGAGAAATGCAATTAGTCTAAACAGTAAACTGAGGTCAGTGGGGCTGAGGCTCAGGGCTCCCC